ACACGAACCCAAACATGAACCAAACACGAACCAAACACGAAACGGACACGATCCAGACACAAACCCCGACACTAACCCGGACACGAATCGGACACGAACCCGGACACGAGCCCGCACACGAACCGGACACGAACCCGGACACGAATCGGACACAAACCCGGTCGCGAACCAGACGTGAACCCGGACCCTAACCCAAACCCAGACACGAACCAGACACGAAGCGGACACGAACCGGACGCGAACCCGACACCAACTCAGACCTAACCAGGCACGAACAGGACACGAATCGGGTAAGAACCAGACCCGAACCCGGGTCGCGAACCAGAAGCGAACACGGATACTTCCCCAAACACGAACCGGACACGAAAACGGACAGGAACTGGACAGGAACCGGACACGAACCCTGACATGCGACTGATACTTAGTTTCATTCCGCAAGCACAGCACCGGCGCCTCCGCCAAAAACCTGTAGAATTTGATTAACCCGAAAATGTCCCCCTAAAGCTACCAAAATTTGGAATAACTTAATATCGCGAAATATTCGAAAGATACCAATATCTACGGGATTTAAGTACCGGGACAGAAATGCTTGCGAAACTATATTACCCAAGATTTTCGTCACGCGAGACAACCATGCAAGAGGCTTTCGCGAAGAAACGCGGAAAAGGACCAACTTACAGGGCGGCAGGGCGGCGCGCAAAATCACGGACACAACCAGCACCACACCGTTTTATTAGATTATGTATATATATATATATACATATATATATATACGTACATAGGTAGTATTCTATAAAACCTATAGAATGTATTTTCCTTATACCTATATAAGTACGAACTGTTTAATAGAAAAAACACTTTTGCAAAGAAAAACGAATATCAGACTGCTAAAGTTCAAGACCAATGCATTCGTAAAAAAAACTTATCATAGTTTATTCAATTCCTGAAGTCGATATCTGAGTTCAAACCTATCGAAATACATATTCGAACACCTCTGTATATATTGCTCTATATTTTTTGCAAGATTGTCACACGGCAAGTGCCAGCATGGAGTTTGGATAAGTCTCCAAGCATGTTGGCCCACATCAGCCTTGGTTCAAACCATACTGTATCAGGCAACTTTATGCGCTCTTTGGCATGGAGATGAAGCCAGGACAGAATCTTGCACAGCCTAGGTGGATCAATTGGGTGCAAGAACTGAAACAATTTGAATTCTAAGGGTTTGCATGTTGTCTATGCTTGCAGGAACTACTACTACGACCCTGTAAAGGAACCCCTATAAACCCAAAACCGAAAGATTCTGGGAGCCCGGCCGCCCACGCCGGGAATTTGAAGCCTCCGGAGGTCGGCGCAAGCATGACAACCCCTTAGTTACTGCCCCCATACAGTTTAGGGTTTAGGGTTTTAGGGTTTAGGGGGGCTACTATTAAGGTCCTAATGTATCTATATTATGAATATTATCCAACTATTACTGAGTGGTGGCCGTACCCAAACAACCCCTCGACTCCAACACCCAAATCTCAAAAACCGAAAACCCTAAAACCACTGAATCCTAAAACCCTAAAACCTAAAACCTGGAACCCTAGACCCCAAACCTCTAAAAGCACTAAACCCTAGAACCCGAGCAAACTGTGCAGCTGAAGACGACTCATGAAAAACATGAATTTAGGATCTTTCAAAGGCAAACTTCTTCGAAGTGGTAACTAGGCCCACTAGACAACATGTCGGCTGTCAGCAGCTTGAGTATTTCTAAGGACAAAGAAGAGCTCCAACATGAGTTGCAAGGTATTAGCCTGGTTAGACTTAGCAAAAGCCAGGGGGTGGGTTCCAAACCGATTCAACACTCAACCCGATCCTCCCCCTCGGGTTTTGCGTTTCCATCCTAAGCCTAAACGACAGACCGCAGTTCCTTTCGACGAGATTTGTCCAGACCGTCAAACCCTCGACCCCACCCGAAGCCCCCTAAACCATAAAGCCGTTCTACTCCTGCTCCCACTCCTAGGTTCCTCGACTCTCCTTACAGGAGCTTCTGGACTAGACCGGTGCACCTAAATCCTTAAACCCTAACTCCTTAAACCCTCAGCCTTCAAATCCATAAATCTTCGATAGTCTTTTGCTAGTCTGTTTCTGCCCTGCCTTCTGCGGCAAGTTCTTCACTTCGCTCGCGCTGAGCGACTTCTTCATGATCCTCACCTCGCCTTCAGAGCTTGATACGTTCAGGGGTTTAAGGGGTTTTGGGGTTGAGGGCCAAGTTTGGGGTGTGGGGTTTTGTAACGCTAACTAAGACTTCAGCGGCAGACCCTCAGCCTTCCATTTGGTAGTGGGGGTGATCTATGCAGTAAGCCACATAAAGTTCGAAACCGGATTAAGGCCAAGTAGTAATGTAAAGGGAAGGACTAGGGCTAGTGGGTTTCCAACTTTAGGCCTCTACTGTATATTCCTGACTAACAGAGATACCTGTATACCTTCCGGTATATTCCGAACGTTTTCTGTATGCGACTATATACCCGTCAATGGCAACATTAGCATCACCATTAAGCCGGGATTGGTGCAACCGTCGTCGGAGTCCAGTTCCGGTATGTTGTTCAACTCCTACTTACCATCATGCTAACGACATATGGTGTTCAGCAGCTTGGTGTAGATACTCGCAGCAGTGCACAACGAGATGGAGATCAGCATGGGATTGCGAGATGCCGACAACTTAAGATCCTCAACCGCGAAGAGGCACGATCAAAACTGCAGTGCTATCTGCCATTAATTGAAAAGGAAGGCTCTTACAAATCCTAAGTCCTAAGACCCTGAACCCCAAAACCCTAAAGATTGTGAAAGAACCCTAGACCACGCGGCGGGGACTCAACAAAAACACCAAGGCAGAAGAGCATCGAGGCTGTCGACCCAAAGCCACACCTGGCTTTGCGGCATAGGGTTTAGGAAGAGTTTAGGGTTGAGGGTTTAGGGATTTGGGTTTAGGGTTTAGGTATCGGGCTTTGGGGCATTCTCTTTATACAATTTTGGCTCTGGGTTCAAGGCTGGCTGTTTGGGGGAATTAAAACTCACAGCCTCATCGTCTGTGGGCTTGCTGTGTACCTATAGAGGCCTTCATAATTTCCCCAGTGCTAACTTAAAGGGGTTCCTTCTTCCCCGTCTTCCTCAGCCGTCACTTGGGTAATTCAGACCACCTGGGTCGATTCATAGAACTGCAGCTAGCATCACATGAGGGGTGTAGTATCTACAGCAAAAGACTTCATGATACCCACTGCAACGAATTTGCATATGGCACCATGCACGCCTGCAAGGCCCTATAGGACACAAGAAACAAGTTCCTCGACGGCTTTAGTTACGGTACACCGACAGCAGCGCTGTCTCAGATTCCCAACTTGTCCACATCGAGGCGACGAACAAACTCGTACTAGTATGTGTAGCTTTTGCGGGCTGGGTGACTCACAAGGTTAACCTAAACCCCACCTAAATCCCTAAACACTGGACCCTCCCCAACAGACCTGCTTGTAGATCTTCCCGGGGGATCCACACGTGCTACCGCTGGTGGTGAAGTACCTGGGAGAGGCAAATCAAAGTACGGCTGCACTCATGCGGCCGAACATTCCAAGCACTTCGCTCCTTCCTCCAAACTCCGACGGTTTAGGGTTAAGGGCCCAACCCAAAACCCTACGCCCAAAACCCTCACCCTAAGCCCAAAACCCCAAACCGACTCCACTTCAGCTGAGGCACGTGGTCCAACCTGCTCCCATCTCGGGGCTCGTTGCCTGTCCTGCGAGTCCAATGCCGATAGCGGCATCTGCATCGTGGGAGTCGGAGTTTTGGCAGGATTGGCTTCGGCAGTTATTGCAGAAGCCCCAACGAGCTTTGTTGCCATCTTTGCACTGGATGTTGAAGCCAGGCCTCACGAAATCGTCTGCGAGTCTACAACAGAAGCACTAGCAGCAACTGCAACAAATTCTCTAAGCAGGAATAGGCCCACACGTGTTCCCTGTCCCTGGCCTTTGCATCGGGCAATTCTGGTATGAGCCTGATGGGGGGCCGAAGGCATGCAGAAAGCCCGCTTGGTCCACGCTGGAGTCTCGAATGTACCCGGCGCTGAAGAGGGCCCTGGCACTGCTGTACCTTCTGGAGAAGACGTGGGTCACGCAGTTGGACTCCGGGCTTCCAACGCACATGCGAATACGTGTAAAGGGCTCCGTCAGGAAGGCGCGGTACTTGGCATCCGAAGGGTACGTCACCGACGAGCCGGAGTTGTACAAGGCGTAGTTGGTCCAGTACGAGCTGGAGAAGCCGAAGCGTGACGTTTTTCCACCCTTCAGTACAAGCTTCCAGTTGGCCTGACAATCCACGGCTTCATCCAGGGCTTAGTTGGGCTCTACAAGACCTGAACGTCTGTTTCGATGCTAACCGGGTTTACTTGGTTCCCGTTGTTGGTATGGGGGTATTTCAAAAACCTTGCACTACACTAACGACCGTTGGTCCCGAACCATGCGCCGCCCGGCTCCGTGGCCTTCTCTGGAAAGCAGAAAGTCGTTGCACGAACGATCTTGAAGCGATATGGGTACAACTTTTTGGGATCTCTTCGTGGGCTTAAGTTGGCAAGAAAGTTCACGTCTCATGAAGTTGAGAACATGGTTTTTCACAGCTGATGTGAGCAGAAATTACGATGTCCCTTCGTAAACGTCAAGGGCCTAGGGATGCAGTGGGATCGCGAATTCCGCGAGGATAATTACATGGGAGTTTCCGAAAATCAGGGTACCTTAGTTTGGGGTCCTAATAGTCAGGATACTACTATTACTACTACTACTACTACTACTACTACTACTACTACTACTACTACTACTACTACTACTACTACTACTACTACTACTACTACTACTACTACTACTTATTTAGGGTACTATACTAGGGTCCCCCATTTTCGGAAACTCCCACATGGTAGAGATGGCTGCATAGGGTTTTTGCAGCAGCCCTTGCCTCTTGACACGAGCTGGGCGCGAGGTCTAGTCTCGAGAATCTTCCAAAGCACTCAACTACTCATTGTGATTTCAGGAGTTGTTGTAAATCAAGCAACCAACTACTCTTTGTGATTTCAGGAATTTTTCAAAATCAAGCGACCGGCTTCCTAGCAATTGCTGAATAAAGCCCACAGTTGCTTGAAGGATCAGGCGCCGTAAAAAGTAACAGAGAGCCGGGCGAGGCGCTTGGGATGATGACTTCAATACATTCATTAGCTGGACTTTGAAGTAACCAGGGAGAAAAAAAGTATAAACTGTTATTTCATAGTGGTTCCTTTGAGAAAAAAGTATTAAAGTATGGTACTCCAAAGCCCAGATTAATTAGAGGGTCGGGGCTTAGGTTTTAGGATAAACCTTCAGAAGTCTCAATGTTCGTTCTCTTTCAACCCTGGTCCTTTTGAGCCAGACCAGAACCCAGAGACCCCGATGTCCCTTATGTAATTAAGGAATATACCTTAAGTCATAGTGGGATCCCTAATCTGATTTAAGGTCTATTCCTGAATAAAGGGATATTGGAGTCAGGGAAGCCCCTCGCCCAGAGGAAGCTGAATTGCCAAAACCTGAATCCCAAACTCCGAGCCTGAAGCGCCAGAAAAAGACGGGTTAGGGTTTACATGTAACCGGAAAGACCTACCTTTTTGCGTTCCTTATTATGGTTTCTATATATAGTTCCATAAAAACGTAGGTCTTTTCGGCTACAGGTAGGGTTTGGGGGTAAGGGTTTTGGTTGCAACAAACACCCAATGCAAAGGAGCTGCGCGGCTGTCCACCCAAAACCACACCTGGGAGATTAGGGCTATGGAGCCCTCTCTTTCTACAGATTTCTCTCCGGGGTCAGAGATCTTCCTGTCAAGTTCTAACACTGCGAGTCCACAGATTCGGCTGGGAAAGCTTACGGCTTAAGTGATTCTGGGCCCCGGAATTACCGTGCTGCTCTGCACAGCAGCACTGGCGGGAAAACCAGGCTGATGGCACTTGATGCAACCCGGCGCTGCTCAGAACTTCTCGCGTATGAACCAAGTTTGCATATAGCACGATACCCTGTCATAGATCTGTTTGGGACACACGACAAAACTTATTAGACGGCTTTAGTTCCTGTGGGTGCGGCAGCCTTGTCGCAGATTCGCAAGCTTGCTACAACTCCTGTGGGCTGGGCGTCAGAGTTTAATATCCAGACGCAGCCAACAGACTTGTTTGAAGGTGTTCCCGGCGTTTCCGCATGTGCCTCTGGTGGTCGTGAAGTACCTTGCATGGAAAAGCTCAGCACAACTATACTCTAGCAGCTATGCCCCTGCACCGCACCAGCGGCCGAATATTCTTAGTAGTCTTAGCACATCGTCCCTGACCCCATCTCAGCTGTGGCACCTGGTCCAACCTGCTCCCATCTCGCTCGTTGCCTGTCCATTCAGACCAATGCCGATAGCGGCGTCTGCGTCGTGGGAGTCGGAGCTTTGGCACGATTGGCTTTTGCAATTATTACAAAAGCCCCAGCGAGCTTTGTTGCCATCGTTGCACTGGATGTTGAAGCCAGGCCTCACGGAACTGTCTACGAGTCTACAACAAACAAGAGCAGCATCTAGCAGCAACTGCAACCAAGTCTCTAAGAAGGAACGACATGACTACTCGTATGCCCTGTCCCAGCCTCTGCATGGGGCAATTCTGGTAGGTGCCTGATGGGGGCCCGAAGGCGCTCAGAAAACCCGCTTGGTTCACGCTTGAGTCTCGAATGTACCCGGCGCTGAAGAGAGCCCTGGCGCTGTTGTACTCTCTGGAGAAGGCGTGGCTCACGCAGTTGGCCTCCGGGCTTCCGACACACATGCGAATCCGCTTGAAGGGCTCCGTGACGAATGCGCTGTACTTGGCATCCGAAGGGTACGTCACCGACGAGCCAGAGTTGTACAAGGCGTGGTTGGTCCAGTATGAGCTGGAGAAGCCAAACCGCGACGACTTGCCACCCTTCAATGCAAGCTTCCAGTTGGCCTGACATACGCGGCTTCATCCAGGACTTAGTCGGGTTCTACCAAAGCTGAAAGTCTGTTTCGATGCTTAACCGGGTCGCCTTCCCCCCCAGCACTTCCTTCCCGACACCGCAGTCCTACCCGAGTTAGCTCCTACAGCCTAGCCTGCCTGCAGCTCTCGTAGAATTCTGAGGATGAGACACATTAGTATTAATATCAGCTTTGTTGGTAGCGACCCCTACGGCCATCTCATACATGTCGCAAGTCTTTAACGTTGGTTTAGGGTTCAGGGGTTTAGGGTTTTGGGTTTACAGGGTTTAGGGTTTACGGTTTAGGGCTTTGGAGTGGTTCCCGGATTGAATGCATCCAAAGGTTTTCCGTGGGTGCCGGCCTCTGCTGGGACGAGACGGCAGCGAAGAAATAATAACTGATGTTGGGGCGTTCATAATTCGAATAGGGTTCCTTTAGGGGGTCTAGAAGGGTTACTTAAGGGTACTATAAAATAGTATCCTTCATAATTCGAAAAGGGTTTTGGGGAATATTCGACTACAACTCTATAACAAGGAACCCCAAACTATAATCGGTAATTATTTACCTGTAGGCCCCTCTAGTACTAGCAAGCGCTCTGTACGACTTGCAGTCCTCTTGAGACTTGAGGCAGCCCCAAACGAAGCTGAACCGCCGAACCCTGAACCTGATAAAGCCTAAACCCTGAACCCGATAAAGACTAAAGCCCAAAAACCGATAAAGCCTGTACCCCAAGCCCGATAAACCCTTTAAGACCTAAACCCTATAAACCCTAAATCTTAAACGTGAAGCCCAAAACCCAAAAAAGTGATGTGCGCAACAGATACCCAAGGCAGCCGAGCGTCGACGACAGCCTCAACCCAAAGCCACACCTGGGTTGCTCTTAGGGCCTAGGAATGGTTTAAAGTTTAAGGTTTAGGATTCAGGGCTTAGGTATGGAGCCCTCTCTTTCTACAATTTGTCTCCGCGATCGGTGATCTTCCTTTCAAGGTTCAACGGCTGCCTACGGCTGCGAGCCCATAGATTCGGCTGGGGAAGCTTACGCCTGAAGAGGTTTTGGGCCCTGGAATGACAGTGCTGCTCTTCCGCAGCAGCACTGGCTGATAGTTGAAATTTGGAGCTAAGCTTGCTCTAATCATGCCTCGTCGCGTATGGCCTTTAGGAATGTAGGAACGACTGCAATCGAGGGGGAGTTGGTAAGTCTTGACGCAACCCGCCGCTGTTTAGAACTTCTCGCGAATGAACCAAGTTTGCATGCAGCACGATACACTCTCACAGATCTGTATGGGACACAGGATACAACTTATTAGACGGCTTTAGTTCCTGTGCACCCACGGCAGCCTTGTCTCAGATTCGCAAGCTTTCTGCAACTCCTGTGGGCTATGCTTCAGAGTTTACTAAACTTCTAGATTGGAAGCCAGAAGCAGCCAAAAGACTGGCTTGTAGGTGTTCTCAGCGGCTCCGCAAGTGACGCCGGTGGTCGTGAAGTACCTTGCATGGAAAAGCTCAGCACAACTATACTCTAGCAGCTATGCCCCTGCACCGCGCCAGCATGCGCCAGCGACCAACATTCAATTCTTAGCAGTCTTAGAACATCGTCCCTGGCCCCATTTCAGCTGTGGCACTTGGTCCAACCTGCTCCCATCTCGCTCGTTGCCTGTCCAGCCAGACCAATGCCGATAGCGGCGTCTGCGTCGTGCCAGTCGGAGCTTTGGCACGATTGGCTTTTGCAATTATTACAAAAGCCCCAGCGAGCTTTGTTGCCATCATTGCACTGGATGTTGAAGCCAGGCCTCACGGAACTGTTTACGAGTGTACAAGTCTACAACAAACAAGAGCGGCATCTAGCAGCAACTGCAACAAAGTCTTTAAGCAGGAACATGACTACTCGTATGCCCCGTCCCAGCCTCTGCATGGGGCAATTCTGGTAGGTGCCTGATGGGGGGCCGAAGGCGTCCAGAATGCCATTTTGGTCCACGCGAGAGTCTCGAATGTACCCGGCGCTGAAGAGGGCCCTGGCACTGTCGTACTCTCTCGAGAAGACGTGATCCACGCAGTTGGACTTCGGGCTTCCGACGCACATGCGAATCCGCTTGAAGGGCTCCGTGTTGAATGGGCTGTACTTGGCATCCTCGATCTTCGACCACGGGGAGCCTTTTGGGTTCAGGATGTTTTGAACTCAACTCCTACTGATGGGATTCGGGTTCGAGTGTGCGAAGCTCAACATCCAGGGAGTAAGGCAAACGAAGATACATCTGATGCTGCTGCTTGCCAACTTCTTAACCTATACAATCCCCTAAACCCTAAACCCGAAGCTTAAACTTCAAACCCCCTAAACCCTCAACCGTTGTCAACTTCTGTTTGGTAACTGAGCCCACAGTCTCAAGCCCTGAAGCGCTCAATCCTCGTCGTGAGCTGCCCTATCTAAGAGAGTAGTTACACAGAATGTTCGGGCTAGGGTTTTCTCTTTAAAGTGCAATGACTCTTTCTCTGGTTGCCACAGCACGCAGGTCCGGAGCCTGACTCGGAAGGCCTACACTAGAAAAACCCATCACACACGACGTTCAGGTTCAAGGTCCTCGGGTTCTTCACGTGTTTCGTTTGAGACATCATCACGACGGTGAGAGTCACGACCGCGGCTGCATTCACGATGTACAGCATTCGATGGATTGCCCAACGTCAGTCCCGAGCTCGCTCCTGAAAACCGGTTCCTTTCGGACGGGCCATCCATGCTCCTCCGTTCATTGTCCCTGTCTCGACGATGAGGTGCAGGTCCTCCAAGGAGAGGGTCAGGTCGTAGAAGAGGTGGAGGGCGACTTTCATAGCCACGACGGCGAGCACACGGTTCCAGAATGTTCATTGCGACCCTTCTTCACGCCGAGCGAGGTGGAGCAGGGCGCCGAGCGAGGTGGAGCAGGTGGCAGGTGAAGAAGACGTGGAAGGACATGTCCCACTGGGAAGTTCCAGACTTGAGCCTCCTCGTCTTGCTGAAGTAGAAGGAGGCGCCGATCAAATTCAGATTCCCAGTTGCCTCGAGGAACTTCACGTCGTTCTTGAAGATGTAGTGCAACCACATGAGCTCTCCAGGCACGCCGTCGGAAGCCCGCGATGGTGTGTCTGGCTTCATTCGGGTGAAAAGCATACCACATTGCCTCTATACTCGTCGGGAGTCCAGGTTGGAGTAGCACCGCCGGATCCATGGTCGGCGGAGCGAGGGTCTATGACGTCGTGTTGCCATGGGCAGCTTGCTGTTGGATCACCCTGAGATCGATCGTTCCATGCTGTGGGCATTCAGAGGACTGGCAGTGCTAGGAGTACGTAGCCATCCCAACAGCTCTTCGATTGCCACCCCAATTAAGCGATGACAGTGATGTAGGCGCCTTTGACGGTCGAGGAGTCGCCGAAGAACGTCGACCGGGTCCCCCATGTTGCCCTGTACCATTTGAGCGTTGACTTCGTTCCTGACATTGTCCGCCGTCAATATCGTCGTTGTGGTGGTTGTCGTGTGCCTAGTTGGTGAAGGTCCACCCATAGTCTGCACCAAGGAGCTGGCCTCCGCGTCTTTATCATCAGATTCAAGCTCTCTCCAAATTCCATGAGGGACATTGTTGTTCCTGGGCGACGTAGAGCTTGACGAGGAAGATGCCGCCGAGGGTGAGGCTGGTTGCTCACTATCCGGTGAAAAGTGCACCGGCTGCGGTGGAGGTGGTCCTCGAGGGGCTTCACCAGGTTGTGCAACATGTGGCTCAACCTCAATGATGTAGCCTTCAGAGTGCGCTGCCCACCTACTGTTGAGGCTAGCGGGAGAGTCCGCTGGTCTTTCAGAGGGGCCGGAGTTTGGGCCAGTTTCACCACTAGCATCAGCTGTGATAACCGGCAAGTCCGAGATCACACAGGAGGTTTCTCCGGGCTGCAGGGAAGTCCTAAAGTGGGTCTCCCAGGTGCTCATGAACATTTCAATCGCCTGTCGGGCGCACGAAAACACTCGCCATCGTTGAGATTCAGCAGCAGGGACACGTCGAACAATGAGGCATCCACGTGCTACAACTCTCCTGGCAAGAACTCTTGTGAGGATGTCAAACGCCTCCCCTGCCCTTCAGTTGTACACGTGCACCCTGAGGCTCAGCGGTTCTCCGGTCCCGTGCCCTGTGTTGCCCATGAACTCAAGGAGGTCACCAAGGCGCTGAATGTCTCGTTGAGGAACCCCACTCTCTCGGAGTCTTTGGCGTTCTGCATTAGTCAGCTGCATGAGGAAGTTGACATCATCCAGCGGTCGTGCCTCTCTCACCTCTGGGAAGAGGCCATAGTTCGGAATCGTCGGCCACGTCGTAGAGCTGGTGGTTTGCTGTGTCAAGTTGTAGTCGCCCCCGTTGTCTTTCTTCGCATTCGTCTCAACAGTGGGTGACTGCTATCAGCGAGTTGGTCATATTCTCCGGGAGCGAAGTGGACGACGAGGAGGAGCACGTAAAAGAACTCGTGGAGGAAGCCAGGGCACTGCTCGTAGAGGTAGCCGACGATGTCCAGGTGCAGGAGGATGTCGCCCCATAGACCGAGGTACACGTTGAGGAGGTCAAAGTGCTGCTTGTTGACGTCATAGAAGTCGACCAGCCATGCCACCGTCTCCAGTCATCCCATTCGTCCTGTGACCACTGTTGCCACCATGAGGCCGCTGCTTCGGTTGCAGCCTCTTGTTCCTGGGTGTTAACAATGTTCTCCTTGGACGGCTCAGGCTGAGTGGTTTCAACATTTTGCTGTTCCTGTCGGCGTACTTTGTCAGTTGCATATTGACGTAGCCATGCAGGGCGCCATTGTCCGCTGAGGTACTCATTCATGCGGTCTTGTTTCTTAGACATACGACGCGCCCCAGATCCTCCTTGATGTGCTCGCTGCTCAGCCGGTGTTAGGGTTTAGGGTTCCAGGTTTAGGGTTTACAGGGTTTGAGGTTAAGGTTTTTGGGATACAGGGTTCAGGGTTCAACCCTTGCTTTGACAGCTTCCTCACGCAGATCCCGATCAGCCGAAAGATGTTTTGCTTGCACGCTTGAAGCCCCACTCTTCAATGCACCCCACTACTGGGCTCTTGCTCAAGAACTCAACTGAAGTTACCATAAACGGGGATCAATAGCAAATAGCCTGGTTTCCGTCGTATGGTAGCTTAGATTAAATTCTTAACGGATTGTCGTCAAAGCCTAGCACAGCAATCATAATCAACCTGAAGCTTGCTGGAACCGGATATCCAAAATGATGCCCAAAGCCTCAAACTTTGAAGTTCTGGAACCAGATTCCCTCATTCCCACAGGCGCCAACGAAAAGATCCTAAATCCTCATCAGAACCCTCAACCCTGTCAACCCCATACCCACAACCCTAAACTCTACAGTAGAAGCCAGAAATAATCGAACATCAGTTAGAAGGGGCCCCCGCCCTGTAATAGTGACTATAAGGAAAACATCAGTGTCTTCATGCCCTTAACGGCAGTATAGGGGATCCAGCACAAATCCTGCTAAAGCCATGTTCCAACTTTCTGGCTTCTACTATAGTTAGAGTAAGGTTCGATGAAGGAGCCGATAACCCTAAACCCTAAACCCTCTAGAGCCTTAGAGTCCTAAACGCTAAGAACGAGCCTTGGTTCAGGACATCACCTTGGCTGTGCAGGCCATAGACAGAAGGAAGCTCACTACGCAGGGTCCTTTTTAGTAACAAAGACGCCTGATGGTCTCCATCTTCCGCATAAACAACACATACATAACATATGTATATATATATATATATATATGTATATGTATATATAGATACATGTGTGTACGCACACAAATATACACCTGTATTAGACATACCCCAACATTTTCTGACAGCTCTACATTAGGCTCCCCTTTGCTTTAGTATGAGCTCTAAGGGTGGCTTGGCGTCGGGGCTATGGGCTCGAACTGATGCAAAACAACAATCGACAGTTAAGGGTTTAGGGTTTAGGGGTCTAGGGTTTAGGGGTTTAGGGTTTAGGGTCTCACTGAGTCACCGTTGGTCCAGAGTGGGCTGGAGAATCCCAAGGTGTTCGTGATGCCGATCTTCATCACCAACTTCCAATCGTCCTCTGCTGGGGTTTGCAGTTTTGCAAATACTTAAGGAGCCCTATTGAAATAGGATTAGGGGGTTCCTTATTATACTTATAGTATACTATACCCCCAAACCCTATTCAAATTGTTCAGGCCCCCATATTCTAGTAAGTACCCTTACACACCCACTTAAAGGAACCTTATTCCTTACCCCCCCAAACCCTGGTAAGGCCGCTACCTTACACATCCCTAATAGAACCCTCATCGACCCCTTTACAAGGACCCTTTGTAAGGAACCCTATTCTAGTTGTTGAGGCCCCGAATTACCGTTCTTGTTGAGCCTCGTCCGGGGCGCCCGGGGCGCAGCGCGCGTTCAGGAGGGTTACCCAGTCGAGACTCCAATATCCCTGAATGAAAGAATATACCTTAGATCATATTTGGGGTCCTACATAACTTAAGCTATCTTCCTTAATTTGCTTATAGACTCCTTGTAGACCCATTTAAGGAACCCTTTAGGGGTATATTCCTTAATTTATGGATATTGGAGTCTCTGTGTAGCAGTCTCACACTCGGGCGAGGCGGTTTTTCAGCTCCGAAGGGGGAGACTCTGGGGTTGAGGGGTTTATACTTGGAGGGTCTTTAGGGGACTTAGTAAGGGCTCCTTTAAAGGGGATGCTAAGGGTTCCTTTAAAGGGCTCTATAAGGGTAGTGTAGGGTTTAGGGGTCAGGGACTTAGTAAGTAGGTAGTAAGTAGACTTATAAGTACCCTAAAAGGGACCCTAATTGGGGTTATGGTACTTTTAAGTCCCTAAAATAACCAGTTACCAAGTCCCCCGACCCTCCAAGTAGTAGAAGCCCAAAAGTTGGAAACCCCATAGCCTCGATCCCTAAGAGTAATGTATAGGGAATCCCAGCACTATTTGGCCTTAATCCGGTTTCCAGCTTTATGGGGTTTACTGTAGGGTTTAAGGGTTTAGGGTTATAGGGATTAGGGTTTAGGGGTTTACTGCTTTAGGGATACGGGTTTAGGGGTTTAGGGTTTGGGGTTTAGAGTTTAGGGTTTCGTGGTAGGGACTAGGGTTTGAGGTTTAGGGTTACGGCCAGCACTAGCTTGTGGACGCCCCATAGTGAAACGTCTTCCCCAGCGAACGCAAGGAGGCTTTGGTGCTCTGCGGAGTCTCTATGCTTTCAGGGCACCGGCTATGGCAGGGTGTCGTGATGGTAGTGCGGGTGGAAACCCGCAAACAGAGACACGACGAGATGGCCATGGACATCAGAACATGACAGATATCGCGTCATGCGATAGTACAGCTCGAAAACAAAGGAAGACCTAGGCCGAAAGCATGTACTGTAGCACGTAACAAAAACATCATAATCTTCCGTTCCAGAGAGCGACTTGGAGTAATGTGTATTCACGGTTGTTCCTTTGCACAGAAAGATCAAGACACACACACACACACACAACCTAGCTCGATTGGCATAGCAAGCAGACAAGAACGAACGCATGCATTCCGGCAGCAACACTCGCGGGATAACGGCAGTTCTCTGAATTAGTGTCTCTTTCCAGGTCCCCGAAGTAGTACTGCACCCTGACAAAAGGACCCTCAAAGGAACACAGCCCATATCATGATCTCTGCGCTTTCCAGGCTTCCAAACACCCAATGCTCTATCAAGCCTTTACAAGGCCAGGCTTCAGCGAGGAAGGTGGTAGTGATGGTTGTCGCCTCAGCACGTTCTCATATCTGCGGCGTTACATCTTGCAGAGAGGCAAAAACGGTCAGCACCGTAGACTTTGTCCAGGGGTTTAAGGGGTTTAGGGGTTGAGGGCCAAGTTTAGGGTTTGGGGTTTTGTAAAGGTCGCTAAGGCTTTAACGGCAAACCTTCTGTCTTCCGTTTGGTAGTGGGAGTGATCTATATTCCTGACTAACAGAGATACCTGCATGCCTTCCGGTATTTTCCGAACGTTTTCTGTATGCGACTATACACCCGTCAGTGGCAACATTAGCATCACCATTAAGCTGGGCTTAGTGCAATCGTCGTCGCAGCCCGGTATGTTGTCCAACTCCGACTTTCCATCATGCTAACGACATATAGTGTTCAGCAGGTTGGTGCAGATTCTCGCAGCAGTGCACAAAGAGATGGAGATCAGCATGGGTTTATGAGATGCCGACAACTTTAGACAATCAAAACTGCAGTGCTATCTGCCACTAACTAAAAAGGAAGGCTCTTGCAAACCCTAAGCCCTGAGACCAGAGACTGTGAAACAAGCCTGGACCACACGGCTTGGACTCAACAAAAACACCGAGGCAGAAAAGCATCGAGGCTGTCGACCCAAAGCCACACCTGGCTTTGCGGCATTGGGTTTAGGTAGAATTTAGGGGGGAGGGTTTAGGGATCGGGCTCTGAGGCGCTGCGTTCAAGGCTGGCTGTTTGGGGGAATTAAAAACGCACAGCCTTGGGCTGTGTCCCAATAGAGGCCTGCATAATTGCCTGTGCTATCTTGGGGGTTCCCTATTCCCCGTCTTCCTCAGCCGTCACTTGGGTAATTCAGACCACCTGGGCGATTCATAGAACTGCAGCTAGCATCACATGAGGGGTGTAGTATCTACAGCAAAAGACTTCATGATACCCACTGCAACGAATTTGCATATGGCACCATACACGCCTGCAAGGCCCTATAGGACACAAGATACAAGTCCCTCGACTGCTTTAGTCACGGTGCACCGACAGCAGCCTTGTCTAAGATTCCCAACTTCTCCACATCGAGACAACGAACAAACTTGTATGTGTAGTTCTTTTGGGCTGGGTTACAGGGTTCCCTAAACCCTATCTAAACCCCTAAACCCTCCCCAACAGACCTGCTTGGAGCTCTTCCCGGGGGATCCACACGTGTTACCGCTGGTGGTGAAGTACCTGGGAGAGGCAAATCAAAGTACGGCTGCACTCCTGCGGCCGAACATTCCAAGCACTTCGCTCCTAACTCCAAACCCCAGCGGTTAAGGGTTTAGGGCCCAATCCAAAACCCTACGCCCAAAACCCTAAACCCTAAACCCTAAAGCCCAAAACCCTCAACCAAAGCCCTGAGCCCATAACCCTAAGCCCAAAACCCCAAACCGACTCCACTTCAGCTGAGGCACCTGGTCCAACCTGCTCCCATCTCGGGGCTCGTTGCCTGTCCTGCGAGTCCAATGCCGATAGCGGCGTCTGCGTCGTCCGAGTCTGATTGGCACGATTGGCTTTTGCAATTATTACAGAAGCCCCAGCGAGCTTTGTTGCCATCTTTGCACTGGATGTTGAAGCCAGGCCTCGCGGAATCGTCTGCGAGTCTACAACAGAAGCACTAGCAGCAATGGAAACAAAGTCTCTAAGCAGGAATAGGCCAACACGTGTTCCTGGTCCCTGGCCTTTGCATCGGGCAATTCTGGTATGAGCCTGATGGGGGGCCGAAGGCGCGCAGAAAGCCTGCTTGGTCCACGCTCGAGTCTCGGATGTACCCGGAGTTGAAGAGGGCCCTGGCACTGCTGTACCTTCTGGAGAAGACGTGGGCCACGCAGTTGGACTCCGGGCTTCCGACGCACATGCGAATCCGCTTGAAGCTCTCCGTCAGGAAGGCGCGGTACTTGGCATCTGAAGGGTGTGACACCGACGAGCCAGAGTTGTACAAGGCGTGGTTGATCCAGTATGAGCTGGAGAAGCCAAACCGCGACGTTTTGCCACCCTTCAATACCAGCTTCCAGTTGGCCTGACAATCCACCGCTTCATCCAGGACTTATAGTCGGGTTCTACCAAACCTGAATGTCTGTTTCGATGTTTAACCGGGTCGCCTTCCCCGGTCGCCTTCCCCTCCCCCCTGGCACTTCCTTCCCGACACCGCAGTCCTACCCGAGTTAGATCCTGCAGCCAATAGCCTGCCTGCAGCTCTTGTAAAATTCTGAGGATGAAACGCACTAGTGCTAATCCCAGCTTTGTTGGTAGCGACCCCTAGGGCCATCCCACATATGTCGCAAGTCTTTATCTTTGGTTTAGGGTTTAGGGTTCAGGGGTTTAGGGTTTACCTTAACCCCAAATAACCTACCTTTTTAAGGACTTATATAAATAAACCATCTTAGGGAACCCTCAAAAAAGGTAGGTTCCTTAGGGTCCATGTAGGGCTTTGGAGTGGTTCTCGGAGTGAATGCATCCAGAGGCTTTTCGTGGGTGCCGGCCTCCTCCCGGCCGGGCCGGCTGCGAAGAATAAAACCCTTACTAAACCCTAAACCCCTAAACCTCTAAAACCCTAAACCCTCAACCCCTAAACCCTAAACTCTAAGGGGCGTTCATAATTGAAATAGGGCTCCTTTAAAGAGGTCGAAAAGGGTTACTATAAGGGATCTATACCGGTACTAAAAAATGGCGTCCTTCATGAATCGAACAGGGTTTTGGGGAATATACGACTACAACTCTATAACAAGGAACCCCAAACTTTAATCGGTAATTATTTACCTGTAGGCCCCTCTAGTACTAGCAAGCGCTCTGTACGACTTGCAGTCCTCTTGAGACTTGAGGCAGCCCCAAATGAAGCTGAACCGCCGAACCCTAAACCTGATAAAGCCTTAACCAAGATCCCGACTAAGACTAAAGCCCAAAAACCGATAAAGCCTAAACCCCAAGCCCGATAAACCCTTTAAGACCTAAACCCTATAAACCCCAAACCCTAAAACCTAGAAACCCTAAATCCTAAACGTGAAGCCCCAAACCCAAAAGAGTGATGTGCGCAACAAATACCCAGGGCAGCGGAGCGTCGACGACAGCCTCGACCCAGAGCCACACCTGGGTTGCCCTTAGGGCTTAGGTATGGTTTAGGGTTCAGGGCTTAGGTATGGCGCCCTCTCTTTCTACAATTTGTCTCCGCGATAGTGATCTTCCTTTCAAGGTTCAACGGCTGCGAGCGCATAGATTCAGCTGGGGAAGCTTACGCCTGAAGAGGTTTTGGGCCCTGGAATGACGGTGCTGCTCTGCTGGCTGATAGTTGAAATTTGGAGCTAAGCTTGCTCTAATCATGCCTCGTCGCGTATGGCCTTTAGGTGCTTTTATTAGAACGACTGCAATCAAGGGGGAGTTGGTAAGTACTTATTAGACGGCTTTAGTTCCTGTGCACCCACGGCTTGTGTCAGATTCGCAAGCTTTCTGCAACTCCTGTGGGCTAGAAGCAGCCAAAAGACTGGCTTGTAGGTCTTCCCAGCGGCTCCGCAAGTGCCGCCGGTGGTCGTGAAGTACCTTGCATAGAGAAGCCCAGCACAACTATACTCTCGCAGCTACGCCCCTGCACGCGCCATCGGCCAACGTTCTTAGCAGTCTTAGCACATCGTCTCTGACTCCATTTCAGCTGTGGCACTTGGTCCAACCTGCTCCCATCTCGCTCGTGTCCTGTCCATCCAGACCAATGCCGATAGCGGCGTCTGCGTCGTCCGAGTCGGAGTTTTGGCAGGATTGGCTTTTGCAATTATTGCAGAAGCCCCAGCGAGCTTTGTTGCCATGGTTGCACTGGATGTTGAAGCCAGGCCTCACGGAACTGTCTACGAGTCTAAAACAAACAAAAGCGGCATCTAGCAGCAACTGCAACAAGTCTCTAAGAAGGAACATGATTACTCGTATGCCCCGTCCCAGCCTCTGCATGGGGCAATTCTGGTAGGTGCCTGATGGGGGCCCGAAGGCGTCCAGAATGCCATTTTGGTCCACGCGAGAGTCTCGAATGTACCCGGCGCTGAAGAGGGCCCTGGCACTGTCGTACTCTCTGGAGAAGACGTGATCCACGCAGTTGGACTTCGGGCTTCCGACGCACATGCGAATCCGCTTGAAGGGCTCCGTGTTGAATGGGCTGTACTTGGCATCCTCGATCTTCCACCACGGGGAGCCTTTTGGGTTCAGGATGTTTTGAATTCAGATCCTACTGATGGGATTCGGGTTCGAGTGTGCGAAGCTCAAAGTCCAGGGAGTATGGCAAACGAAGATACATCTGATGCTGCTGCTTGCCAATTTCTTAACGTATACAATCCCCTAAACCCTAAACCCGAAGCCCTAAACTTCAAACCCCAAACCCCTAAACCGTTGTCAACCTATGTTTGGTATCTGAGCCCACAGTCTCAAGCCCTTAAGCGCTAAATCCTCGTCGTGAGCTGCCCTATCTAAGAGAGTGGTTATCCAGAATGTTCGGGCTGTGGTTTAGGGTTTCGGGTTTAGGTTTTACAGGGTTTTGGGTTAAGGGTTTATTGGAAACAGGGTTTAGGGTTTAGGGTTCTACCGCAGATCCCGATCAGCCGAAAGATATTTTGCTTGCACGCTTACTCTTCAATGCACCCCAGTACGGGGCTCTTGTTCAAGAACTCAACTGAAATTACCATAAGAGTGGATCAATAGCAAACAACATGGTTTCCGTCGTATGGTAGCTTCGATTAAAGTCTTAACGGATTGTCGTCAACGCCTAGCAGCACAGCAGTCATCATCAACCTGAAGCTTACTGGAACCGGATGCTCCAAAATGAAACCCAAAGCCTCAAACTTTGAAGTTCTAGAACCAGATTCCCTCTCTCCCACAGACCCCAAATAAAAAGCTCCTAGATCCTCATCTCTCAGAATCGTAAACCCTATAAAGCCTATAAACCCCACACCCTTACACCCAAACTCTACAGTAGAAGCCAGAAACATGGAACATCAGTGTCGTCATGACCTTAAGGTACAGTACAAGGGATCCTAGCACCAATCCTCCGGAAGCCATGTTCCAACTTTCTGCTTCTACTATCAGTCCTAAACGCTAAGAACGAGCCTTGGTTCAGGACATCACCTTGGCTGTGCAGGCCATAGACAGAAGAAAGCTCACTACGAAGGTTCCTATTTAATTAATAACAAAGATGCATGATGGTCTCCATTTTTCTACATAAACGCAACACACACACACACATAACATACATATATATATATATACATATGTATATATGTATATATAATAAACATGCGTGTACACACATAAATAGACACCTGTATTGGACATACCCCAACATTTTCTGCGATCTCTACATTAGGCTCCCCTTTGGTTAGGCATGAGCTCTAAGGGTGGCCTGGCGTCGGATCTTAGGTCTCGAACTGATACAAAACAACAATCGACTGTTACAGTAACATTTCTCACTGAGTCACCGTTGGTCCAAAGTGGGCTGGAGAATCCCAAGGTGTTCGTGCTGCCGATCTTCATCACCAACTTCCAATCGTCCTCTGCTGGGGTTTGCAGTTTTGCAAATACTTAAGGAGCCCTAATAATTCGAATAGGATTTTGGGGGTTCCTTATGACACTCCAGTATACTATACCCCCAAACCCTATTCGAATTGTTAAGGCCCCTATATTCTAGGTAGTGCCCTTATATGTGCCCGCGCTCCGCGTTCTCGACCCCCCCCCCCGCCCCCCCCAATGGTATCCCCCCCCCCCCGACCCGGGCGACCACACAACAAGAACAAGAACAAGAAGAAGAACAGCAGCAACAACAAAGCAGCAGCAACCACGCGGAGGAACCACAGGAACCACAGGGGGGGAGGGGGGAGACAGGAACCAGAAGAACCACAAAAGGGAGGGGGAAAACCAAGAGGAACCACAGGGGGGGGGGGGAACCACAGGAACCACAGGGGGGGGGAGGGGGATTACCATGGGGGGGGGGAGGGGGGGGGGGGGTGCGCGGATGCTGGCACATATAGACCCACTTAAAGGAACCTTATTCCTAACCCTCCCAAACCCTGTTAAAGCCCCTACGGTACACATCCCCCCATAGAGCACCCTTTGTAAGGAACCCTCTTCTAATTATTAAGGCCGCTGCATTACAGTACCCTTTAGTAACCCTTATAGACCTCTTTAAAGGAACAAAGGACCCTTTGTAAGGAACCCTATTCTAGTTGTTAAGGCCCCGAATTATCATTCTTTTTGAGAGCCTCGTGCGGCGCGCAGCGCACGTTCATGAGGGTTACCCAAAGACTCCAATATCCCGTACTGAAGGAATATAACTTAAATCATATTAGGGATCCTACTATAACTTAAAGTATATTCTAGTTTGATTGTAGAACCCTGATAGATCCCTTTAAGGAACCCTTTAGGCGTGTATTCCTCAACTAAGGGATATTGGAGTCTCTGGGTAGAAGTCTCACACTCGGTCGAGGCGGTTTTTTCCGATTCGAAGGCAGAGACGGGATTCGGGTTTAGGGGTTAGATTAGGGTTTGGGGGTTTTAAGGTTTAGGGTTTCAGGGTTTAGGAGTTAAGGGTTTAGGGGTTTAGGCCAGCAATAGCTTGCGGGGGTGAAATGTCTTCGCGAAAGCAAGGAGGCTTTAGTGCTCTGTGGAGTCAGAGACTCCTATATCCCTACAGAGGAATATACATTTAAACCGTATCAGGGAGCCTACTATTCTTTAAGGTATATTCCTTGATTCAGGGATATTGGAGTCGCTGGGGAGTCTGTATGGTTTCAGGGCACCGGCTAGGGCAGGGTGTCGTGATGGTAGTGCGGGTGGAAACCCGCAAACAGAGACACGACGAGAAGGCCATGGACATCAGAACATGACGGCAGATAGCACGTCATGCGATAGTACAGCTCGAAAACAACGGAAAGCCTGGGCCCTAAAGCATGAATGTAGCACGTAACAAAAACATCACAATCTTCCGTGCCAGAGAGCGACTTGGAGTAGTGGGTTTTCACCGTTGTTCCTTTACACAGAAAATCTAAAGACACATAGCTCGATTGGCACAGCAAGCAGGCAAGAATGAACGCATGCGTTCCAGCAGCAACACTCACAGGATATCGGCAGTTCTCTGAATTAGGGTCTCTTTCTAGGTCCCCAAAGTAGTATGGCACCCTTACCCATACCAGCGCAGTCCACGCTTCCAAACGCCCAACGCTCTATCAAGCTTTTTCAGGGCCAGGCTTCAGCGAGGAAGGTGGTAGTGGTGGTTGTCACCTCAGCACGTTTTCATATCTGCGGTGTGACATGTTGCGCAATATGTTGCACAGAGGCGAAAGGTCAGCACCGTAGCTTTTGTCCTGCCCGTCCCGTAAACCAGGCAGACACTCGGCTCTTCCGTCCCCCGACCTTGCTCAGGGTGCGACTGTGGAGGTCGAAGTCGTTGTTGTTGAGGTCGTTGTTGTCGTAGTCGAAGTTGATGTGGTCGTTATAGTTGTAGTCGTTATTGTCGTGGTCATGGTTGTTGTGCTGGTGGTCTCGGCATTCCGAGTATCAAGGCGACATACGAATGAAACGTGAAATATGTGCTGGCTCAAACTATAGGAAGCAGGGGGCTGGGAAGATGAAGAGCAGCAACCCACCCTGGAGCCTAAACTCTAAACACCTTTTCATGTCTTGTCTGTTCCAGACTTAGGCAGTCAGCCGGCCTAGACCCTCCATCTACCCTCTATTAGACCTTAAATGCCCCTTATTCGGGACCATATGCTCCTATTTGAGGGTACAAGCAGGGTCCTGGGGGTTTCGAACAGTAACTGCAGGATCCTCGCGAGCGCTTTCACATTACAGGTAGCACCCTTTCAACCCCTTAGGGCTCCAATTGCCTAAATAATGCAGGATACATTGTTAGTAACCATTAAAAACTGGAGTCCTTCGGAACCTCAAGCAATCCAGCCCGGCGGCAGTCTGGCACAGGGTTCCCATAGTCCTTGGCAACTTGCTCTGGGTCAGTGTCCATACTTCCCGAAGCCTCCGAAACGTAAGCCGAATCCCGCACATCATTCCATGACCGAAGCTCTGCAACAAGAATTCGGGTACGTGCTGCTTGTTGGCACTACTCCTGCTTCAGGCGTCGATGTTAGCTTTCTGACAGTGTGCATGCCTGCGTGGCTGCCTGCTTTCCTGCATGCATGCATGGGAATGGAAGCAGGAGCGACATGAAAGCGTATGCCTGCTTGCACAATCTAGTCTTGCTGGTTTGCATCAAGAGCACGTAGACGATTTTCACTTTCGCAGCAGACGGCGCTCGATTGAGGTTTTTGAGCTTCGGCTTTTGATGCATTATTGAGTGATTACTATCGGGTAGCCTCTGCCGGGAGTCCGGCAGATTAACCCCTCCGAGCATTGAGCGATTGCCTTGTAAGTCCTCTGAAGACGTCCACTGGCCGATCTTGCGAGACGACCTGCCCCTCAAAGGCTTTCAACATGCGCAGGTGCTACGGCGTGCTCTCATGCTCTCAACTCTAAACCCCAAAACCATCAACCCTACAAGCCCTAGGTCTTGAGTTGCAAGCCAGTGGTCAAGCATCTCCCGTCCAGCCAGCTGCACTGCATTGTGCGATCCTCGGTGCTTGGGAACAGCTCTGGAAACATGCCCCTCTACCTCAAAATCTATACCTGTCGGGTATACATGGGTTGTTAGGAAGGGTTGTGGGCCAACTTACTGTGCAGGGCTTCGGTGGATGCAGGGCTTCGGTGGATTCATGCAAGCTCTGCAATCGCACCACTAGAGTGGCACGGCGGACAGACAGACACCTGTACCGGACCTGTACCTGTTGTATAAAGCATGCAATAGAACACCAACAGCATTAAGTATAAACAACCAGACGCGAGGGACAAGGGAACCTAACTTTGCACAATGTGTCTTGCTCTCCTGGCTGATTGTGTTGTCGCACGGTGTCGCTCCGAGCTGTTTTCCTTGGCCTTGGAAAAGTCTTACTATACGGGCCGTAATAATTAGAGTAGGGTTTTGGGGTATATAATACTATAATCCTAACAATGAACCTTCAAAACCGTATATGTAACTGTCTAGGCTCCTACATTATCTTCCTGGCCCAGAACAACCATCTCATAAGTCGCAAAACAAGCAGCTCCATGCGTCACAAAGTAGTTGCTGCAGTCTGCCTCCTGCATGTTTGATATTTGAATTACTTGCATGGCCCCAACCAAACCTCACAGCCCGCGGAGAACGCGTTGTCGCACGACCGGACTTTCTGGTGCCTACTCCTGCGGACAGAGAGATAGTCGGCAGTACTTCTATCATGTATCCTGACTATCACGACAACCCTCACAACTGCGCAATTTTTCATGATGATTCTTGGTATTCTGCTCTGTACCAGTAGAACATCGAATCAGATGACAAACAAGGCCATTTCAGATTTCAGACCCTGAGCACTCGTCGGACAGCTGACGCGTCTAGGTCACAATGTACTGGTGGTTCGTGCACAGGGAACGAGTGAAACCATGCATTTTGCCAGGAACTACCTGATCGCCAGGACGTCTCCACGGTCATGGACAAAAACAAGACAGGCCTGCAGATGGGAGCACGAGCTGCTCCCCTCCACAATGCTGCCCTGCGCATGTCAGGGGACGAGTCTCTTTCTAGACCGAAAGATCGGAAAAGGCACCCGGATTACAAGTTTTCAGATTATCTCGATAGGTTGCACCGATCGGTTGAAATAGCCCGAAGGTCTTCGACATTGGACTGTGACCCTTGCGGCTCATGTGAGCTGCCGCGAAGAGCCACTTGTCGAAAGTCGCAGCCCTGATTGCCTTCAGGTTCGAACTATGCTGGAATTCCTGTTCGGTTTAGGGTTTAGGGTTTAGGGTTTAGGGTTAAAGATATTCGTATCCATCGTATCCGTGACCCTGAGTAACTAACGATTGAACCACCCGACGAAACTGAAGATGTCTGCCTGGCTGTCTACTTTCGGGCTCCAGGAACCGTTGCAACTGCAAGTGTGGATTTTGCACGGACCCCGGGCGATGTCAGTGGGTAGTATTTGAAGAGATAATAACCCCAATAAACGTACGAATAAGAAGACTTATCACGGTAGTGGTGGCAATAGCAGTAGCAGTAGCAGTGGCAGTGGCAGTGGCAGTAGCAGTAGGAGTAGTAGTAGTAGTAGTAGCAGTAGTAGTAGTAGTAGTAGTAGTAGTAGCAGTAGCGGTAGCCGCGAGTGATCGGTCCTGCTGCCCCAGTTAGCCACACGGCTACACCCTCCATTGACACACTCCTGGCCCCATCCTTCCTCCAAGATTGGCAGACTGCAGTTGCTGGTACGCCATACATCTATCGGTGTGATACCTGGGACTTGTGAGCCTGCACACTGAACAGCAGTGACGATGACCGCTGCCAAAGAAACGGACGTTGCACCCATCGGTCAGACAGCTAGTAGTAGTAGTCGTAGTCGTAAAGTAGTAGTAGTAGTAGTAGTAGTAGTAGTAGTAGTAGTAGTAGTAGTAGTAATAGTAGTAGTAGATAGTAGTAGTAGTAGTAGTAGTAGTAGTAGTAGTAGTAGTAGTAGTAGTAGTAGTAGTAGTAGTAGTAGTAGTAGTAGTAGTAGTAGTAGTAGTAGTAGTAGTAGACGTAGTAGTAGTAGTAGTAGTAGTAGTAGTAGTAGTAGTCGTAGTCGTAGTCGTAGTAGTAGTAGTAGTAGTAGTAGTAGTAGTAGTAGTAGTAGTAGTAGTAGTAGTAGTAGTAGTAGTAGTAGCAGTAGTAGTAGTAGTAGTAGTAGTAGTAGTAGTAGTAGTAGTATTATAGTAGTAGTAGTAGTAGTAGTAGTAGTAGTAGTAGTAGTAGTAGTAGTAGTAGTAGTAGTAGTAGTAGTAGTAGTAGTAGTAGTAGTAGTAGTAGTAGTAGTAGTAGTAGGAGCAGCAGTCGGAGTAGGTGGCGGAGCAAGAGCAGGAGTAGCACCACTACCAGTAGTAATAACAATGCTAAAAGTAACAGAAATAGTTAATAATAATAACAATAATACCCACTCATATTGACAAGAATACTAAACAACTACTACTTCAGAAAAACTGGCACATGTCCCACCTGGCACTCGCGGAGAACCTCCTCCTCAGCAGGATCTGGACGTTTGATCCCAGAACCGACCGGTGGCGAGTTGACGTCGAAGGACCATTCCTGGCTTAGGGCTGTTTGGGGTTTAGGCTTTAAAGCTCCCGGGTTAAGAGCTTTAATGCTCTGGAAAAAGCATTCCAGGAAAATGCAAAATGTACCAGAGGCCTACCTAGATTCTTCTTCCTTCTTCTTTGCTGCAGGATCGGTCACTCTCACGGCCTTGGAGGTTTGCCGCACCTTGCCGACGTCCGCGTAGCTGAAGTCGAACAAGGCAGAGATGGCACGGGCCCTACTTTCTTCGGAGATGATCTCACCCGGAATTGCTGCCAAAATGGCGGCGAACTGCTCCGCAAAGTTGAACAAGGGAATTTTCATTTCCGGGCTTTGGTAGTAGCCGAAACCCATCTGCATGCCAAGATAAATGACGTTGCCCGTCAAGAGGCCTTGGATGTCGAAGTTGACCATGCCTGGGTTCTTGAAGCCGAATAGCTTGAAAGTATCCTTCTGCTCTTCTCCTTCGGAGGTCGAAAGGAGGGAATCGATGCGCTCCCCGGCTGAGGACCCTCGCGCTTCCGAGGTTTTGTTGATGCCCAAGTCTTTCCCGATCTCGATCGAGGCCAAGTAGAGATCGTCCTCCTCCGTTTTCCAGTACAAGGATTCCTGCAGCTGAGCCTTCGCGTGCGCTCGGCTGCGGTTAGCCTGCAGAAGTGACGTCCTCGCCATGTATTCCATGGCAGTTCCGCTTTCTCCTTCTGCCGCTGACACGCCGAAGAAGTGTCGCGATGTTTGATGGCCTCCGTGGACATTGTCAGCGGTGAAGTGTGTGTCGCTGCCAAACCGCTTTGCCAGGCGCAGCGTCCGAGCGAACAGCAGGACCTAGGTTCTTGTTCAGGGGTTTAGTTTAATTTACCAATTTACCATGCCATAACAAAGAAACCGCATTATTCACTATAGAATCCTATTATGGTGAACTAAAGTAAAAACTTAACCCCTTAACCCTTAAAGGAGCCCTTTATAGATCCCTTACAGGAGCCCCTGTTATGGTAATAAGAACCCAGGGACACCGTTGGACCTGATCTCGGAGCGCAGCACGCTGAGGTCAAGCCCACCGGGCTGAGATCTCGGCCAGCAGACCTGGAGGACCGGGATTAGGGTTTAGGGTTTAGGGGTATATGCAAGGTTTAGGGTTTAGGGGTTTAGGGATTTAGGGTTCGGGTTTAAGGGTTTAGGTTTTAGGAGTCTTGGCTTCAGGCTTTAGGCTTGAGGGTTTAAGGTCTAGGGTTTAGGGGGATTCACAACCCTATCCAAGCCTCCCAAACGTCTACGAGCGCCATTGCTATCCGGAATGCCCAGCTTCACAATTCCAACATGGTTTTCGTGATAGCGGGGACTCTTGCAACCTGAAAATGTGGAGTCTCTTCATGATGCTCATACAAATCCAGTATGCAAAACTTGTCCAAATTTCACCGGTCCTGCGCAATAACAGCTGTTTTAGCAAAGACGGAAGCACTTCAAGCAGCCACAGTACTAGCAGTGGCTCGGGGATCTAGCGAAGCCAAGTAGGTTGTATGGGCTTATATAGACGCTCTCTAAGAGCACGGGGCTGTTCTTGATTCACACGGGAGAAACGAAACCGTTTCGAGAGCTTCGGCTGTGTGTAAAGAGGTTCGAGTCCAGAAAGGCAGTTGCAGTTTGTGAATGCTTCAACCGTGGTCCAGAGCCATAAGTACATGGTCTCACAGGTGGTATATTAGACTCTTCGATACCGTGACTATAACTCAGCAACCATACTATGGTAAATTAGGTTCTACCCTGGCTGTAATGTAGGGGCCCTAAGAATTCGAATTGGGTTTTGGGGCCCATTATAGCATACTTATATTCAGGAACCCCCCAAAATGGCATAGGTAATTTCTAAGGCCCCTATATGATAGAATTACTCTAGATCCCTTATAGACCCCTTTCAGCAACTCTTTAAGGGAACCCGGAAGATAGTGTAGGTAATTATTTAGGCCCCTATATAAATCCTTTACAGAACCCTTAAAGGAACCCTTATAATACCCTTTAAATGGAATCCCTAGCCCTAAACCCTAAATTGCTATATCATAGAACCCTACTACAGATCCCTGTATAGTAACCCTTAAAGGACCCTTTAAAGGAGCCCTATACTACTAAGGTTTAAGGCCTCTATAGTACTCATAGTAACCCTTATAGGCCCCTATATTATCGCCTGAGGCCCCGACTGTCGAGTCGATTTCGACGAGTGGGCCCGGCAGTAAATCGAACTGGATACCGCCCACGAAGGCCACAACGGGCTGCATGTTCCTGGGCTGTGAAAGAGGCCTGCATAACTCGAAGAGGGCTTTGGGCCCCATTATACCACAATGAAAACAAGGAACCCTCAACATCTGGGATGTCAAGCAGCCAGGGAGAAAAGTATACACTTTTATTTCATAATGGTTTCCCTTCACGCAACAGGTCCCCAAAAAAAGTATCAAAGTATGGTAATTACTCCACAGCCCAGTCATAGTACCCTTATAGAAACCCTATAGATCCCATTAAGGAACCCTGAAAGGGACCCAAAGTATGGTACTCCAAAGCCCAGGTTCAACTCGAAGGTCACCGTCAGACACTTCTCAATTGACTTCCCCACCGAATAGAAGGAATAGCCTGCTGGGGCCCAGGTTTAGCGTTTAGGGTGCAAACAAGCACATAAGCAAAGACTAGGACAGGGATATCGCATAATAACACCCCCTTATAATGAAGCCTAACAAGGTTTGGGGTCCCTAAGAACCCTAAACCTTAGGTACTGCCCCCATACAGTAAGAGTCGATAATAGGGCTACTATTGAGGTCCTAATATATACCAAACCCTAAACCCATCGCCTTGCCACTTGTCCCAATGGTCCTTCATCCACTCGGGTCCACAAGGCACCGCCCACGGCTCGAGCTTCACGAAGTCGTCGTCTGTGGGCGCCTGCCAATCCTGTTGGGTTGCCTGCTTGCCGCTTCCGGTCCTGGGCTCGGATTTCAACAGTCCCCAAAAATATTTGTGATTAGGCTCCATATTAACGAGAATTAAAAACCTATCCCACATGGATACCTAGTGTCTTGTTCCTGGGTGCGAAGGCAAGGCAGGATCCCGTCACAGTCTCCCTGCCGTTGAACCTCGGGCTCTCAGGACAAGTCAACACAGGGAGCACCACATCCAAGGCTCTTTCTGGAACTGAGGCCTAGCACGATCTTGTGCTCGTCCTGTAAGTAACTATAGTAGTAACTCTGTGGTACTCATAGTAGGAGCCCTTAATACTCGTAGTTTCAAACCTCTACCAGCTCCGTGGGGAGTTGTGACAATGTCGCCGCCCCACGGTCCTGTTTTAATGTAAGCCCCTATATGGGAGATTCCGAAAATAGGGGACCCTCATGTAGTATCCTAAACAGAAGGATGCTTATTATAAGGACACCAAAACAAGGTATCCTCAATTTTCGGAAACTTTTGGAAGCAACCTGGAAATCCAAGGCAAACTCTCAACAATAGAAGCCCTACGCCCTACCTGTAGCCGAAAAGACCTACATGTTTTAGGGCTCCTTATTATTATGGTTTCTATATATAGTTCCTTCAAATGGTAGGTCTTTGGGCCACAGGTACCCCTATCTTATAGTACCCTTATAGACCCCTTTAAAGGGAGCCTCTTCTAAGTAACAAAGCCCCCTATACTCCACCCTTTTAGCCTCCTTATCATAGTTCAGATACAAACCCGGAAATTTGAAGTCATAAGATCCAACCAGAAGAACGCCAAGGCAATCCAAAGCAAGCAGCTGTGTGACCAACTCCTGGGTCTCAGCCGAGTAGTCATGAAAGGTCCACTTCACACCCGCCGGTGGCCTGCCGTTTAGGGCTTAGGGTTTAGGGGACTAGGGGATCTGGGGTTCAGGGGTTTAGGAAATAGGGGTTTAGGGATGTGGGGCTTCCTTCTTGGAGTTTAGGGTTTCCAGGCGTTTACGGGTTTCACCGTTTCGCGCAACCGCCGGTGGCCTGTCGTCTGCTTCGCCGTCGCCTTGGGCCTGGGCCGAAGGACCCAGGGAGCTCCCGGGGCCCTTTAGGTCTATAGGGATTCTATAAGGGTATAGGGTTTAGGGTTTAGAGTACTTGGAGGGTCGGGGGACTCAGTAACTGGTTATTTTAGGGACTTATAAGTACCATAACCCCCTATTCGGGTACTTATAAGTCTACTTGCTACCTACTTACTAAGTCCCCCGACCCTCCAAGTAATGGGGATTTAAGAACCAAGAAGGGTTTAGGCTAGGGATTTAGGGTGTAGAGATCACGGTTTAGGGTTTAGCGTTTAGGTTTAAGGTTTAGGGATAGGGTTTCCTCAGTAGTAGATGGTGGGGCTTCTTTATGCTATGATAACTTAAAAAGGGTAGCCGGGGATTTATAGTATTATAATCGGGTTTCCCTAGTATGGCAACTTAAATAAAACTATAGTATCTGACAGGGTGCCATTATTTTATGGTGGCTTAGAATAAACTGCACTAGATTGTAGGATGCTCAGTAACCTAGGAATAACAAGGGCTCCCCTTTTGGTGTTGGGTAACTTTGTCAGGAACCTAGGACTACAAAAAGGGAATAGGGGTACTACTGGGCATCCTAGATTATGGTAAGTGAACTTGGCGGACTTCTGAACCCCTCCTACAAGTTGAACTTTTAGCCGTATTATTATGGTTCATATAGAAAGCCCAAACAGTTTTAAAGTCCTAAGAGCCAACCAGAAGAAAGCCAAGTGAAAACAACTTCCCTAACAGGAGTTCAGGCTGCCTGCATACTTGGAGGATCAGGGGACTTAGTAAGTAGGTAATAAGTAGACTTATAAGTACCCTAAACGGGACCCTAATTGGGGTTATGGTACTTATAAGTCCCTTAAATAACCAGTTACTAAGTCCCCCGACCCTCCAAGTAGACGACTTCAAGATGACCCGGACCGGACTACACCACCCTGCTCTGGCCTTGCCTTACAGGGAACTCCAGAAAGTGGGAATATGGTTTCATGGTAGGATACCCTATAATTTACCATAGAAGGGTTAGGATAATCATAAATTATTCCAACTTTCTGGCTTTTACCTTAATCGTGAAGAACCTACTTTTTTAGGGTTCCTTACTCTGACTTCTTTTTATAAGTCTTGAAGAAAGTAGGTTATTCCGGGTTAAGGTGTGGCTTACAAGCAACACCGCCATGGAGCCTCCAAGGTGGCCATCTCCTGCAGCAGCTCGGCATGTTTACCTGGCATCTTCTGCGAGTGCTTCCTGATGACGAGGTTGGCGCCTGGGCGGACACATGTTGTGCGCGTAGCAAGGACAAGCATGCTGCTAGGCCGAAGTAACAGCCAAGGTCCCTAAACCCTGAACCAAATCCCCAATTAGTCTGCACGAAGTCAACCACTGCTATGCTCTCAATTACATGGGTGGTTGTCAAAATGATGGTCCCCTTGTGGGTACCCTAAATATTAGGTGCCGATTACAATAAGGACCAAAAAGGGACCCTAATATTGACAACCACCCACATCGAGTTCTTGTTCTGGCCTCTGTGATGCACCATGGATTGAGCGCCGGCAGAGGGGAACTCCGTCGTGACCGCCGTCTGAAGGAGGGATTCCCCGCCCTTTATCGCTTGAGCCGCCAGCTTGGAGGCCACTGTGGCGAAGGCTGCGATAAACTCTGCGAAGATGTCGCCCAGGCGGTTCAAGAAGTTCAGGGGAGGGACGCTGCCGATGATCTTGAAGCCAAGGCACTGGACTAAGTCACCTTTAGCTGCCGCCTCAGAGCACTTCGTTAGCTCACTGCCCATATTGACCATGTTCTGGACGGAATTCGGCTCGCTGCCACCGAGAAGCTGCATTGGCCCCGGCATGAGCCCCATGATGTCACCGCTGACAATCTGCTTCAATTGCCCCGGCAATAGACCATTTATGTCACCGCTGACAATCTGCCTCAATTGTCGTGGCAAAAGACCGTTAATGTCACCGCTGACAATCTGCCTCAACTGTCGGGGCAAAAGACCGTTGATGTCACCGCTGACAATCTGCTTCAATTGCCCCGGCAATAGACCATTAATGTCACCGCTGACAATCTGCCTCAACTGTCGGGGCAAAAGACCGTTGATGTCACCGCTGACAATCTGGTTCAATTGTCCCGGCAGGAGGCTCATGATCTGGCCATTGGCAAGGGTCTTCACGGGGTTTGGCATCCAGTGCAGAGGATTTGCAAGGTGCTGGACCCAACCACCAAGACATGCGATCAAGTGATGGTGGTGTCCACGGTGCGGGCAATGCATCAGCTCCCAGCCTACGCTGAACACTGTCCGGATAGCCTCGTACGCAGTCCCTGCAACAAGCTTCACTGGTTCAGGCATCAGATCCAGAATCTTTCCGTACGTGACTGCCAGTACTGCCTTAGGCCACCAGAAGTGCTTGCGGCCAAAGTTGAAATTGAACAAGGTGGTTTGCTGCCCCATCAGCGAAATTGCACAATGCACGTGGCCGAACTCGATGGTGACCCCGTTGTTGTCTCGGTTCTCAAAGATGAAACAAGGAAACTACCTAAACATGATAGCGATCGACAGTGTGAACCATCACGTTTGGGCCCTTGGGCTTTAACTATTGGGACGGCAATCACAAGGTTCATTCAGATATTGATCGACTACCAATGCCCGGCTTACAACCGCTCACCTAGTCTCGAAGGCGCCAATTGTTGCAGTGCAAGATGTGGGAGTTTCCGCAAATAGAGGAGCCTAATATAGTACCTTACATAGTAGGATCCCTATTAGAAGGATCCCCAAATATGGTACCCCTAATTTTCGGAAACTCGCATTTAGCTTCGGAGAGTCGCAAGCTATGTTCTCATGCAATCCCTTGACGTCAACCGCCTCATTTAACATGATGGCTGGGTGCTTTGACGCAACCGCCTTGATTTACCTCCTGCTGCATTTCCCGGTTTCCGCAGACCATGTGCCAGCAAGGGTTTTCGACATTGCATCTCATTGTTCGACGCTTTCTCAGCTCTGAAATAGAATGGTTTCTAGTGTCTTTCGAAGCTATCTACGATGGTTTTTCGACAGGGCAAGACATGGTTTGAAGCCTGCCCAAACTTGAATCCAAGGGTTTTCTGGTGTCATCGAAGCTGTACTCGGATGGTTTTGCATGCTGCCATAAGCTTTCTGAAACCCGAAATAGAAAGGTTTCTAGTGTTACCGAAGCTGTAAACTTGGTCACTATACTGTAGCCGATGACATTCAAGAGGCCCCGAACCAATTTTAAATACTAGAATAATACAGTAGATTCTGTAACCCTGGGTTGAATCAGGCCCAAATATAGGTGTCCCATGAGTGGCTTTCGCCTGTTCTCTGTCGCTGGGATGGATGCGAAAGGCTCTTTTGACTCGATTCTCGGCTGCAATATGGCCTCCTATAGAGTGATTTGGGACAAGATTGGACTGAAACTGTGCGTGCCTTCAGCAAAAGATTTTCAGGAAATCACGAAGCAAAAGCTCTGCGGGACGTATGGATCCGGGATGATTCGGGCCCCTCTGCCGACTTACTTGCAAGTGCTTGCAGCCGATCTGAATCACGCTTTTTTTTCACGTGCATGTGGCATCCAGCAGCTGTCGAGGGCCAGGCTGAAACCTTGGATAAATGTCTGATGTTGCGAACACATAAATTAAACTGAAGTATCGTCGATCCCTGTGTATGAGCTACAGTATAATAATGAGGTACACCTGTAGATAGGGGTTTTCTACTTTAGCAGCTGTGCCTGATCATGCCGCCCACGAAGCCTAACCAGCAGACGATCCTGCTGCTCAAGGCCAGAATACACATATATGGGCACATGCATGTGTGCGTGTGTGTCTGGGTGTGAGCGAGTGGAAGTTGTACTTAATTATATGGTGAGCAAATATTTAAATATACCTGCAGGAGCTCTACAAGAGCCTTCTGGGGAATCCGGAGTATGTGGAGGAACGTTTCCAGAAAATCTGTTCCTGGAACGGCATCGGGCCGAAGAAGTTGGCGAGGTGCAGAAAGAAAGGAAAGGCTGCTTGCCTCAATAATCGTCCGAAGTGCCCACAATCAAATATTGATTCCACTTAATAATTGATCCATGAGGTACCAATCAATTTCAGCATGGTGGAAATTTCAGGAACGACAATCACAGAGGCAGATGAACCACAGCTGCAAGTGTTTGTGTTGTATAAATAGTATTTGGCTGCAAGCATCGTTCAATAGTTCTGGTCTCGGCTGAGGTGGAGATGAATGAGACAAACTTTATCTTCCTGAAGACTTATTTGAGCCTCTTTGGCACGGTACCAACCGCAAAAGAGTCCCAGGCTGCTTGGCTTCGCATTATATGGAAAAATTCGGTACTTCTGTCCATGTCTGTTCAAGTCAGATTGCACTGGGAGCCCTCGCCATCGATGCTGGGGTGGTGAACAAGAATGCAAGCAAAAAGCAGGTTCAGGACAGGACAGGATTGTTGTGAGATGATGTTCTCGTATACATTGTATATGGTGCAGGACTGGGCAACTATCGAAACAGGGCTGCACAGAGCGCTGGCCTCGTACGTCCACAGGAGGCTTTTGCAGAATGCAGGGACCAGGCGAGAGATGCGGTTGTGTTATAAGTAGATAGCTAGAGTGGTCATTTTGTACACGTGTGTGAGAGGCCCGGGCACGAGAGGATGGCAGTATTGAAAGGCATCGTGAAGATGGTGCGAGGGGAGGCTTGACTGCATTGTTACGTATACTCCCCCAAATCTGTATATCATGTGCCGTGGAATTAAGAATGTTGCAACAGGAATATCATGACATCCGAACGGTCCATCATGAAGCAGCTGGGGATCCTCCGCTGCAGTATGGCAAGGATACGGATGAGACTCAGCTCCCAGGATTGCACGAAGTAGCTTGCTACATGTGTTCACCTGCACCGTGGTTTTATGTAAATTCTATGGCTTCCTGCAGGAGCTGCAGATGATGATCAAATTCGAGTGTGGGAGGATGACGATGATGTGGTCATCTTTGTGGAGCCGCACCCGCCACCCCTCCACATCCCAAGTGACACCGAGGCTCATGATGCTTGGCATGTGTATAATAATGATTCAATAGTATATTCGAAGATGTCTGATTGCCAGGACGACTTGAAAAAAGATGAACGTCGTGATGATGTTTCTGCATCACAGGCAGCTCGGAACATGTATATAATTTGGGTACGGTTATTTATTAATATGCTTCGAACTTGATGTTGCAACTGAGGCGCTGGAAAATTGGAATACGGATGCCAGCAGCCCGAATCCCTGCAAGCTTCGCAGGCTTCAGGCTCCTGTGGACATGTGCATTTAGCGCTGATCTGACTGGCATGTATCTAGATCTAGCTGGATCCTTGCAAGAGGCCATGCCTCTTGAGAACAGCAGCTCCGAGTTTTTGGGGGAAGCAGATGTTGCTGGGCTGGGAAATATAGATTTCAAACAAGTTTATTAATTTTGCCTGCTCTTGCAATCGCTGCAGGTTCCACGACCAGAAAGATCTCCGACCCCGCCCATTGCGAAATCGTCTAGGAAGACGAGGAGATTGAGCAGATCCAGCAAGAAGGCGGGCTTCTATGCTTGCACATGAATTTTATATATATATACATATATACATATATGTACTATATCATTTGCTGTAGCTGATCCGACAAGGATAAGACCCCAGAGCCAGCCTCGGAAAAGAAGCAGCAAAAGATTGAGGAAACTGAGGAGGCCGAATATTGAATAGTGGTCCCGTGTGCTCCGGAATTATAGGCCATACACCTGTTTTGGCAGGTGCCTGCTCCCCCTGAGGACATGTCTGAGAATGCTGGTGAGAAGCAGGCGCAGCTTCCATGCAGGTTTCATAAAATCAACCGTGAGTGCAGTTTCCTGCTGAGGCTGCAGATGCAACTGGGGAGGGTACCCCGGAGAAGGCTATACTGCAGCACACATTTACAGTATGCACATGTACACATACACCTGCGGTGGTGTATATATGCTGTGTATCGAAAGGTGGCTACTTCGGCGAGCTCATGCATGTCGTCATCGAAGAAAAAGAAGAAGCAAAAGACGGAGGAAACTGAGGAGGTCATGCATGTGTATAATCATAGCATGTGCAGTAATAACAATAGATGGTGACAAATTTTATGAAATTTGCTGCAGGTGCCTGCCGGATGTTTTCAGGATGATGGCCCCAAGGACTGTCAATTGTGGTCTGTTAAAATTGCATTCAAGATCAGTCTAGACGGCAATTGCGGTCAGGAAACAGGTGCTGTGGATGTGGCTGGAACACCAATCAAGGTCTCCTATGAAGACAGCCAGCCAATGTTCGGTACACCAGAGGAAGTCGAGGAAGCCCGCGAAGAGGATGACAAGGATTGGGTTTTCAGTATCGCTAGAAGTGTTAATTACATAATATAGTATGGTTGTATATTAAGATACTCAAATTATTCTCGAAACTTATAAAATAATATAATTTATGGCAACAATCACTATACCAAAGATGTGTCTCGCACAATCTAGGTCCAGATCTATCTACTATTCAAAAGTTTTGACAGCTCGCGAGGACGATAGGTTGCCGCTCAGTGCGATACCTTGGCCTATATGGGAGCCGTCATCCAAGTTGGCCATGGGAGAGTCTGTTGTAAAGGACCTCGAGAAGGAGTCTGGGCCCTTGGGTGAGAACGTGCTGCAGGTGAGTTGCTTTCAATTTACATGCATATAAAAATGTATGTGTGTGTTGCTGTGCAGTTGATTGAATGTGTATGCGCAGGTGCAAAGGGCTCTTCGGAAAGCGGTACGTGAAGCCGACCAAGCAAATGATGACGAGGCCGAGGACAAGGAGACGAAAGCCAACAAAAGGAAACCCAAAGCAAAAGCAAAAGCAAAATCAAAAGCAAGCTCAAAGCGCAAAGCCAAGAAAGCAGATGTTCCTTTGGTAAACGAAAGAAAGGCTGAAGAAGTTCTCAGTGATGCTATGGAACTAGAGGAGGAAGAAGATCGTGAAAAGAATGAGCTTCGAGAGGAGGATTTTGAAGAGAAGAAGAAGAAGAAGAAGGGAGCAACGAAAACGGGTGTGAAGAAAAAATCTGAGGAAGTTTTGGGTGGTGTGAAGCGCCGCCTCGATTTCGACGACTGTGATCATGATGATGAAGATGAGGCGGGAGATGGAGCTGGTGAGGCGGGCTTAATTTGGGGTCATGTGCAGATTTGAGAAGAGGCACATATGTGCACACGCATACACATGTGCATGTCATTCAGGTCGGGCACCTCTGGGTGGCACTGGATGAGCCACTTGCTGCTGTGGAAAAGAAAAGAAAAAAGGTCAAAAAGGTTAAAAGGAAGCGGGCCAAGGTGCCCAAGAAAGAGAAGGGTGCGGGAGACGAAGATGTGCACGAGGAACCCGAGGAGCTGCCTAGACATGTGTGATTTTATCATGATCATGGTACACATGGTGTATATGCTATCCCAGGAGCCGACACCGCCAAGATTGCCGAGCTTGCTTCCTCCGG